AGTTGTTAATTTTGGCTTTGGCTGCCTGTGCCTCCAGGGTCTTTTCTAAAAAGTCTTTCCCAATGCCAATATTTTGCAGGGTTTCTCCAATGTTCTCTAATAATTTGATGGTGTCAGGTCTTAGATTTAGATCTTTAATACATGTTGAGTGGATTTTTGTTTAAGATGTAAGGAAAGGTTCTTGCTTCATATTTCTGCATTGAAAATCCAGTTTTCCCAGCACCATTTGTTGAATAGACTATCCTTGCTCCAGTGATTTAGTTCCTTGATCAAATATAAGTTGGTTATAGATGTTTGGATTGATTTCTGGTGTTTCTATTCTGGTCCACTGGTCTATCCATCAGTTTTTGTACCAGAACCAGGCTGTTTTGATTATAACTGCCATGTAATATCTCTTGAATCTGGTATTGTGATGCCTCTAGCTCTGTTTTTGTTGTATAAGATTGCTTTAGCTATTTGAGGTCTCCTGTGCATCCAAATGAATTTGAGCATCATTTTTTCCAAATCTGTGTGTGAGGAATGCCTTTGGTATTTTGATTGGCATCACATTGAATCTGTAAATTGCTTTGGTAAGAATGGACATTTTGATGAATCCATGAACCTGGAAGATTTTTTCCATTTGTTTTTGTATCTTCTTGTTTCTTTTTTTAATATTTTGTAGTTCTCATCATAGAGATCTTTGAAATCCTTCATTAAGTTTATTCCAAGATCCCCTTTCAATTGTTTTGAATAGTTTGAGAAGAATTGTAGTTAGTTCTTCTTTAAATGTCTGGTAGAATTCAGCAGTGAATCCATTTGGTCCTGGGCTTTTCTTTTTTTGGGACAGCCTTTATTACTGATTCAATTTCTGACTCGGTTATGGGTCTGTTTACATTCTCTTTGTATTCATGGTTCAATTTATGTAGGTTGTTTGTGTCCAGGAATCTATCCATTTCTGATAGATTTCCCAGTTTGTTGGCATACAACTCTTTGTAGTAATTTCTGATGACTTTTTTATTTCTGTGGTATCTGTTGTTACATTCCCTTTTTCATCTCTATTTTATTGATTTGGGTCTTCTCCTTTTTTTGGTTAGCTGGGCCAATGGGGTGTCAATTTTATTTTTTTAAAAAAATCAGCTTCTCATTTTACTGATCTTTTGTAATTTTGGGGGGATTCAATTTTGTTGATTTCTCCTCTAAGTTTAAATATTTCTTTTATCCTACTAGTTTTGGGTTTGGTTTGCTATAGCTTTTCTAGATCCTTGAGAGGCATTGATAGCTCATTTATTTGGTGCCTTTCCAATTTCTTGATGTAGGCACTCTTTGCAGTAAACTGTCCTCTTAACACTGCTTTTGCTGTATCCCACGTTTTGATATGTTGTGTCGTCATCTTCATTTGTTTCCAGAAAGATATTGATTTCTCTTTTGATTTCTTCTATGACGCACTGCTCAGTCAGGAGCATGATGTTCAGTCTCCATACGTTTGCATATGCTCTAGATTCCTGACTTGTTGATTTCCAGCTTTAATCCATTGTGGTCTGAGAAGATGCATGGTATGATTTCGATTCTTTTGAATTTGATGAGACTGCTTTATGGTCTAGTATGTGGTCAATCCTAGAGACAGTTCCATGCAGCTGAGAAGAATGTGTATTCTTCAAGTGTAAGATGAAAAGTTCTGTAGATATGTTAGGTCCATTTGGTCTGTAGTGTCAATTAAATCTGCTGTTTCCCTGTCAATTTTCTGGCTGGTTTATCAGTCCATTGCTCAAAGTGGAGTATTGAAGTCCCCCAATACTATTGTATTGGAGTCTAAGTCTCCCTTTAAATCCCTTAACATATCTTTTAGATAGCCAGGTGACCTGTAGTTAGGTACATATACATTTATAATAATTACATCTTCCTGTTGAATTGATCCCTTAATCCTTATGTAGTGCCCCTCTTTGTCTCTTTTAATAGTTTTTGTGTTAAAGCCTATTTTGTCTGATACTATGATGCTACACCAGCTATTTTTTGGTTTCTGTTGGCATGGAATACCTTTTTCCAACCTTTCACTTTCAGTTTATGTGCACCTTTGTTGGAAAGGTGTGTTTCTTCTAAGCAGTAAATAGATGATTTTTTTTAATCCATTCAGCCAATCTGTGCCTTTTAATTGGAGAGTTGAGGGCATTTACATTCAATATGACTATTGATAAGTAATGACTTTGCCTGCCATTTTCCCAAACATATTCCTAATTTATGATTTGAACTTCCTTTGATCCGTTACTGAGAGATTTTTTTCCTTTACTTTCTTTCGTATTGATGACCATGTTTCTGTGTATAACACATCTTTAAGCATCTTTTGCAGGGCTGGACGAGTGGTGACAAATTCTTTCAATTTATGTTTGTTGTGAAAGGTCTTTATTTCACCTTCATCTACAAATGAGAGCTTTGCAGGGTATAATATTCTGGGATGACAGTTTTTTTCTCTTAGGACTTGGAGTATACCTATATCTATATCTGTATCTATATATATATTCTCTCCGAGCCTGCATGGTTTCTTATGTGAAGTCTGCTGTGAGTCTAACTGGAGATCCTCTGAAAGTAATCTAGCATTTATCTCTTGCACATTTTTGAATCTTTGTTTCACTGTGTTGAGTTTGATTACAATGTGTAATGGTGAGGATCATTTTTGGTCATGTCTTTTGGGAGTTCTGTGCTTCCTGTACTTTGATGTCTGTTTGCTTCTCCAAACCCAGGAAGTTTTCTGCTAGTATTTCACTAAAAAGGCCTTCTAATACTTTCTCTCTCTTCATGCCTTCAGAAATTCCTAGAACCCGAATGTTGGGTTAATTTATAATATCGTGTAGATTCCCAACAGTGTTTTTTAGATTTCTAATTTCCTCTTCTTGTCTTTGGTTTGATTGTCTACTTTCCTGTGCTCTGTCTTTTAAGTCTGATATTCTCTCTTCTGCCTCACTGATTCTTTTTTTAAGGTTCTCCACTGCATTTATTTGTTCTATTGAATTCTTCATTTAATTCTGATTTCTCTTTAATATATCAATTTCATGTTCTATTGAATTCTTCATTTCATTTTGATTCCTCCTTAAGATCAATTTCATGGGAGAGATTTTCTTTCATGTCCTGCATGGATTTCAGTAATGCGTTTGCTTTTGATTACTTCTCTGTAATCTTTTTTTTTTTTTATAGTTCTAGAGATTATAAATCCATAACAATACCATTCTCACTAGATTGAAATCAAGATGCCAGCAGGGATGTGTTACTTTCTTGTTTTTTTTTTTGTTTGTTTTGTTTTTTGTTTTTTTTTTTTTTTTTTGACAGGCAGAGTGGACAGTGAGAGAGACAGAGAGAAAGGTCTTCCTTTGCCATTGGTTCACCCTCCAATGGCCACCGTGGCTGGTGTGCTGCAGCCAGCGCACCGTGCTGATCCGAAGCCAGGAGCCAGGTGCTTCTCCTGGTCTCCCATGGGGTACAGGACCCAAGCACTTGGGTCATCTTCCACTGCACTCCCGGGCCACAGCAGAGAGCTGGACAGGAAGAGGGGCAACCGGGAAAGAATCCGGCGCCCCGACCGGGACTAGAACCTGGTGTGCCGGCGCCACAGGTGGAGGATTAGCCTATTGAGCCCCAGTGCTGGCCTTCTATGTAATCTTATGATCAACATTTTGAGTTCCATTTCTTGTATCTCATTGTCTTCATAATCTAGTATTTAAGTGTTGTGTTCTTTCGGGAGCACCATGTTGTCTTCCTTATTCTTGTTTTTTGGATTGTTGTGTTTGTTGTTTGGCATTTGTGGAGATACTCGTTGGTTTCTTCTCCCCCCACCCCACCCCACTGCCACATGACTCTTTAGATAAGTGGACTGTCTGCTTTCAATGAATCTCTAGAGGCTTGTAGTGGGTGTGGCCATAGAGCTCTGTTCAGTTCTCCAGGGTTAATGGTGTGCCAAAGGTGACACACCCAAGTTTGTTGTGGTAAATCTTTTCTGTTTTATTTAATCAGAAGGGAAGTATATTCTGCTCAGCTGAGCTCTTCTAGATGGAAACCAGTGCCTGAGTGCTAGCCCCAGTGGGTATAATATTCATCTGCTCTTTTCCAAGGACCACACAAAGGATCTGTGTAGTCCTCAGTGTAAGTTCAGACTCCCCAGCAATGTCTCTCACCAGGTAACCAGGAACCCCTGAGCTTGTGGTGTTTCCCACTGAGACTGCTCAAAGTCTCAACCACACCATGAGTTCTGCAAAACACCCTCAGTTTTTTAATTTTTTTTTCACAGTCCTGGTTCAGAGGCTTCACACAGTCACAAGCTCCTAGTCCCCTGTTATTTCTCTCCACCAGAGTCAGGAGTCTCTGCTCAGTTGATTGCTGGGTGCAGACACAAGCTGGGGCTGCTGTCCAAAATGGTACCTGCTAGATAGGCTTGTATGCATTTGTGAGGTGATCAGAGAGAGAGAAACATGTCTGCACCGTCCTTTTTTTTTTTTTTTTCTCTCCTCTAGTTTGGCTGGTACACTTCCCCAGAGGGCTTCAAGCCTCGTTCCCTCTAGGCTCTTCCTGCTGCTTTTTCCAGTGGTTCGGTCTACTGCGGTGTCATCTCACCTCACTTTCCAGCACTGGAACATAGGCTCTCAGCTGTTGGAGTCCCTAGCCGTGGGCACCCAGGCCCTCCACATAGGTCTACCATGTCCCTCTAATCTTGGTAGAGTTTCCTCTGCTGTTTTTTCCCTAACTCTTCCCTGAGACTACACTATCTCCACTTTTTTTAAACTATCTTCTCAGGGGCTAGAGTAGTAAGCTCTCTCCCTACTCTGCCATCTTGGAACCAATCATAAATTATCTTTCAAACAATCTAGTTTTTCCATGAGTTAACTATACTCCTTTAATGAAATCCTTCTAAAACTTGTAACACCTATTCCAAGTATACTTTAAACAAAGCCAACAGTGGTTCGGAGAAGGAATGTAAGAATCACTGAGGCTGTTAAAGGAAGATTACATTAACTGTAAGGTCAATTCTTTAATCTTACCAGTTCTCTATAAACACCTTCAGGTCTTCCCTCTGATTTGGTTGATTTTTCTTTCTGCAAAACTTCCCTATTTCGGTTACCAGCAGCACTCATATTGAGATTACTTCTAGCAGTACCACCACCTCCTCCAAATGTCTTGGTCTTTAGATAAGAGAAAAATAAAAGAGAGGTAAGTTAAATAATATTCACAAACTGGTCTAAAAACTAAGCTATGAATAAATACATCTAACAAAACTTGAAGTATTTAAATGTTTCATAATTATGTCTTAATGGAAAAATGAAGCATTAACTGATTCTTTTTAAACAGCAAAAATACCCACTAGTTATAATCTCTACTTCTCAATAAAAATTAAATGATTAAAATCTTTAAGTCTCTCCAAGCAAAGTCGCCAAAATAAACTTAGGCATATAGCAACATGAAAGAAAATAAAACAATATACTGTAAATAATACATTATAAAGATTAGTTGTCAAAATCATATCTACGATAAAAGCCAGTGTCATAGCACATCAGGTTAAGCTACTGCCTGCAACACCAGCATCCCTTATGGGAGTGTCAGTTTGAGTCTAGGCTTCTCTGCTTCTGATCCAGCTCTCTGTTAATGTACCTGGGAAAGATGGCTCAAGTGCTTGGCCCCTTGCCACCTACATGGAAGACATAGATGGAGCTCCAGGCTTCTGAAATTGAACCAACTCTGGTAACTGTGGTGGCCATTTGGAGAGTGCCCCAATGGATGGAAGATTTCTTTCTCTGTCTTTCTCTCTCTGCCACCCTGCCTTTCAAATAAATAAAATAAATCTTTTTTTTTTTTAATGATTCTAGGAAAGGATCCAAGATGGCTAAATAGTGAGAAGCTCCACTGAACTCAGAAAGATATCACACACACACACACACACACACACCACACAAAAAGACTACATTCTCAAGACGCTGAGTGAAATTTTCAGTGGAGACCTGAGAAGACAGAACAGAGATTCCATGGAGCAGTGAGGAGAAAGAATAGACACAACATCGACAGCCACTTCTGCATGAACACAGCTGGTTCCCAGCTGGGAGATGCTATCTTCCCAGAGCAAGGTGAAAGAAGGCTGTCATAAACCCCTATACTGGTGCTCTGAGGGAGAATTTCAGAATGAAATGAGAATGTCCCCTCAGGCTTCAATTCCAGCCTGGAATGCTGGCAGGTCTCTGGGACACTATTTTTGTTTTGTGAAGTGAGGCCACATTGCCTCTCCCCCTCCCCCAACCAAGTATCAGACTCAGTTTGTTGAAATGCAGCTGTACTTGAACTCTGCACTGACGAAGAACAATGGGAAGTTCCACTGCTGCTGGAGGCCACTGTGTTTGGGCATGGGGCAGCTCACACAGTGGAGAGAGGATCCCTAGCACCCCATGACTGTGGTAGTCTTGGACATAGGCTACAGAGCTGAGAGGGTTCAGAATGCAGCTGGATTCCTGTGCACCCAACTGGTCTGACTGCGGACACTCAGAATTCCCTGCATGCTGGGGACGGATCTTGTAGCGGGATCAGGGAACACCCTGCAGGGTGCATCAGTGTGCTTTACAGTGTATGTTCCTGGGTTGGTGAGGTACACTGACAATGTGAGCTCACACCAGGCTGTATATCAGTGGGTTCACCTGGCACAGAGAATGCCTGGACTGTGAGCATTCTAGCCAAATGTGACATCCTCCCCCGCACTAACCATAGCCAGATGTGATCTATCATGCCCAACTTTGGTATTGGACTCTTGCCCCATGTACAAATAGTGGTCAGCACTTCCTTGTCCAACACAAACACCTAGAATTTAATTGTAAGCCTTAAGTACTCCACCTTAGAGGCATACTTCCAGGAAATATTGCAATCAGTTAAAAAAATCCATCCTACAGGGGAGATAGAAACAAGAGATATCTCTGATTCACAAAAATCAATGTAGAAACACAAAAACCATGAACAAGGAAGGCGATGTCTCCCTAAAAGGAACACAATAGGGACTGGTGCTGTGGCACAGTGGGTAAAGCTGTTCGCAGTGCTAGCATCCCACATGGGCATCAGTTTGGGTCCCAGCTGCTACACTTTTTTGTTTTTTGACAGGCAGAGTGGACAGTGAGAGAGAGAGACAGAGAGAAAAGTCTTCCTTTTTCCATTGGTTCACCCCCCAATGGCCCCTGCGGCTGGCGCACTGTGGCCAGCACACCGCGCTGATACGAAGCCAGGAGCCAGGTACTTCTCCTGGTCTCCCATGGGGTACAGGACCCAAGCACTTGGGCCATCCTCCACTGCACTCCCAGGCCACAGCAGAGACCTGGACAGGAAGAGCAGCAACTGGGACAGAATCCAGCGCCCCGACCAGAATTAGAACCCGGGGTGCCAGAGCTGCAGGTGGAGGATTAGCCTATTGAGCTGTGGCGCTGGCCTATTCCACTTTCGATCCAGCTCTCTGTTACAGCCTGGGAAAGCAGTGGATGATGATGGCCCAAGTCCTTGGGCCCCTGCACCCACGTGAGAGACTCAGAAGAATCTCCTGGCTCCTGGCTTCAGATTGGCACAGCTCCTGCTGTTGCAGCCATCTGGGGAGTGAACCAGCCAGTGGAAGACACTCACTCTCTCTTTCTCTCTCTCTCTCTCTCTCTCTCTCTCTCTGCCTCTCTCTCTCTCTCTCTCTCTCTGCCTCTCTGTAACTCCACCTTTCAGATAAATAAATAAATCTTAAAAAAAAAAAAAAAAAGGGCATGCAGATCTGGCTGAAAAGCCCATGAGAGTATTTCAGGCATGGAAAGCCAAGACACTCTGGCAAAAGATCTCTGTGAGTGAGATCCCAGTGGAAAGAACAGGTCTTCAAAGAAGGAGGTACCTTTCTCTGAAGGGAGGAGAGAACCTCCACTTTGACTATGACCTTGTCTAAACAAGATAAGAATCGGAGAACTCAGAGGGCTTCCATAGCCTTGGAAACTCATGACTGGAGCATAGGGAGACTACTGATGCCATAGACAGGAGTGTCAATTGGTAAAGTCAACAACAGGAGTCACTGTGCACTTACTCCTCATGTAGGATCTCTGTCCTTAATGTGCTGTACATTGAGATTTAATGCTATAACGAGTACTCAAACAATATATTTCACTTTGTGTTTCTATGGGGGTGCAAACTGTTGAAAGCTTTACTTAATGTATACTAAACTGATCCTCTGTAAAAAAAAAAAAAAAGAAATTATCAACTCCCAACTTGACTCTCACTGGGATTAAACATGACAATAGGTCTGATCTGATTTGATCATCATTTAAAAAAATCATCTATTATTTTTCACTTTATGTTTCTGTGTGGGAGCAAACTGTTGAAATCCGTACTTAATGTATACTAAGCTGATCTTCTGTAGATAAAGAGAATCGAAAATGAATCTTGATGTGAATGGAAGGGGAGAGGGAGTGGGAAAGGGGAGGGTTGCGGGTGGGAGGGACGGTATGTGGGGGAAGCCATTGTAATCCATAAATCGTACTTTGGAAATTTATATTCATTAAATAAAAGTTAAAAAAAAAGATTTAAACACACACAAAAAAAGGAACACAATAATCCATTAATACTGAATTGTGAAGAAGGAGAGATTGACAAAATGCTTGAAAACAAATTCAGAAGAATGATTCTAAGGTTACTCAAACATACAGAGAAACAGTTCTATGAAATAAAAAAATCAGTACATGACATGAATGAGAAATTCTAAAAAGAGATTTAAAAAAAAGAAATATTAGAAATTAAGTATTCAATAAACCAAATAAAATATACAGTGGAAAGCCTTCATAACAGACTTGGTGAGGCTGAGGAAAGAATACTCAATATAGAAGATAGGTTTTTGGAAATGTCTTAAAAAGAAAGACAAAGAAAGAGAAATAAACAGAGAAAGAGAAACAAACCAGCAAGAACAAAAACAGGGCCGGCGCCGCAGCTCAATAGACTAATCCTCCACCTAGCGGCTCTGGCACACCGGGTTCTAGTCCCGGTCGGGGCGCCGGATTCTTTCCCGGTTGCCCCTCTTCCAGGTCAGCTCTCTGCTGTGGCCCAAGAAGGCAGTGGAGGATGACCCAAGTGCTTGGCCCTGCACCCCATGGGAGACCAGGAGAAGCACCTGGCTCCTGCCTTCGGATCAGCTCAGTGTGCCAGCCGCAGCGCGCCAGCTGTGGCGGCCATTGGAGGGTGAACCAACGGCAAAAGGAAGACCTCTCTCTCTCTCTCTCTCTCTCTCTATCCACTCTGTCTGTCAAAAAAAAAAAAAACAAAAACAAAAACAGTATTCTAAGGGATACCATCAAATGACTAAAAATATGAGTCTTGGGAGTTCCTGAAGGTAGAGAATAAATGAATGGCTTAGAGGGGGCCAGCACTGTGGCGTAGCAGGTTAACCACCATCTGCAGTGCCAGCATCCTTCGAGAGCACTGGTTCAAGTCTTGGCTGCTTCACTTCTTATCCACCTCCCTGCTAATGCCTAGTAAAAGCTGCAGAAAATTGCCCAAGTACTTGAGCCCCTGCATCCAAGTAGGACCCAGAAGAAGCTTCTGGCTCCTGGCTTTGGATTGGCCCAGTTCCGAACACTGCAGCCATTTGAAGAATAACCAGTATATGGAAAATCTCTCTTTTTCTCCTTCTCTAACTCTGCTTTTCAAATAAATAAATAAATCTTTTGTTTTAAGAATGGCCTACAAAACCTAGTCAGTGAAATAATAGCAGAAAGTTTCCCAAATTCAGAGAAAGATATGGACATCCAAATAAAAGAAGCTCACAGAACCCCAATTTTGCATGATCAGAAAAGATCCTCACAATAACACATTGCAGTCAAACTTTCAAACGTAAAACACAGAATATCCTAAAATTTGCAAGAGAGAAACTGCAGATCACTTTTAAAAGAACTCCATCAGACTGACAACATGTTTCTCAACAGAAACTCTATAAGAGGGTAAAATAGAGATACAATCCATTTCCTAAAAGAGAAAAATTGTCAACCCAGGATACTTTATGAACCAGCAAGATATCATGCATAAATTAAGATGAAATAAAGACCTCCCAAGACTGAAATTGAAAGAATCTGTCACCACTCAGCCAGCTTACAAATGATACTTAAGGATGTACTATATACAAAGACATAAAGATAATCAG